CGCCAAGTGGTTGGTAGGAGGGGGGGTGGCTAGTAGTAGTAGTAGTAGTAGTAGTAGTAGTAGCTGTAGTAGCTGTAGTAGCTGTAGCAGCAGTAGTAGCTGTAGCAGCAGCAGCAGCAGCAGCAGCAGCAGCAGGAGTAGTAGTAGTCGTCGTCGTCGTCGTCGTCGTCGTTGTAGTTGTAGTTGTAATTGTAGTTGTAGCTGTTGCTGTTGCTGTTGCTGTTGTTGTTGTTGCTGCTGCAGTTGTAGTTGTAGTTGTAGTTGTTGTTATTGTTGTTGACCTTGTTGTTGTTGTCGTTTTGTTGTTGTCGTTGTCGTTGTTTTGTTGTCATAGCAAAAGTAGTCGGATTTGGAGGAGGAGGAGGAGTAGTAGTAGTAGCAGCAGCAGCAGCAGGAGTAGTAGTAGTAGTAGTAGTAGTAGTAGTAGCAGCTTATTAATAGCACCCGACGCCTGAGTTTGCCATTCAACCAGCTGTGGATGCATAGGTTCTGTGTTTCGATGTCGGATGTTCGAGGGTGCTGGGATGAAGCAACGGGAACAGGTGGTCTCTTCGGGGTGAAGTGTACACACAATCTTGCCCCTTCTTACAAGGCTCCAGTGCTTGCCCTCCGCGTCGCGTCAGTCAAGCAGAGCCAGGACAAACGACTAGAATGGCATAACATTCTTGTCTTAGTGGGCTTCTCAGCTCTGCGTCCCCGGCAGGAATCTAGATTTGGATTTATGGATTTGCCTTTGCACAGATTCGTCGCAGAGCTTCCCAACAGGATCGACAGCCGTGCAGGGGACACATGTTTTGAGAAACCCATTCGCGTAAAGCCTGGCAGACTTGTGACTGCGGGGAAAAGACGGAGCCAAGCCACCACCGCTGCTTGTCTTCAAAGAGCTCGCACGGCTTCAGCTTCGCTGCTCGGAGTGCTCTGGATGTTGCCGGGCTTCAACCTTCGTCCATCTTCACATGACATGTCCATGGCTTTCACAGGTGAGCTGTTTTAGGATTCGCTAGTCCTTACACTTATCGGTGTGCTTAGATCGAGAGTTCTTATGTCTTCAGAGGCCAGACATATCAAATGTTAGCTGGAGACTTGCCTAATCCTCAGTCTCATTGCAACATTTTCGATAGGTGTGAGTGGCTCGGCCGGTCAGGCCTTGTCGGCTCAAGAGGCTTCTGGCTCACGCGCAAGATCGCTTTTGCGTGGCAACCACCATTGGCCATGCGAGCACTTGATCTGTATCATTGTACTTCAGTGTTGCGACAATACCTCATGCTCACGTGCTTCGATCATGGCCGGGAGTCGAGATCAGTTTTGGATGGTGTCTTTAGATAGCTGGCCTAATGCGAAATTGCAGAAGCAGAGCTTTTGGACTCCCGAGACATGCCAACAGCTTGCCCACAGGCTCAGAATCCTTTTGTTGAGATGACCTCATCTTGAAGTATCCCTGAGTTTTGGTTTGTGAGACCAGGTTGAACCATTGCTATAGTGCCACGCGAAAGCATTCGGGGTTGTTTTGGCGCAGGAGAATCGGATATGAAAGGAGCGGGGGATTAAGACACCGATACCTATTTATGACCTACGCATGTAGTACTGAGTAATGTAGCATGTGTGTAATTATGCGTGTATGCAGGCATGCATGTATAAGGATATGTGCAGAAAGAGAGAGTTGGATATATTCTTACGTTACAGACGAATGCGGGAAGCGGCAGCAACAGTGTCTATAGTAGATGTGTGGTGATGAATGGGCGCATGCAAGGCAATACTATTTACAACGACGCATGCCATTGTCTACGAAGTTGCGAGCAGTTCTGTCTATCGATGATCATGAACATCCCCAGTCTGCCAGGTCTCGAAGCATCTGCAACAAGCCCATTTCCAACCCTCTTGATTGTTCTGTAATGTCCCAGTCATGCCTGAACAGTTCTCACCAATGACAGGAATCACAGGTAGGAGTACAGAAAGGACGGAAAACACCGGAAAGCAGAAACCTAGTATCTTGTTGGAATGTTTTTGAGCCTAATTGAGCTGCTGGATCTCGCAGCCACAAACGTACTCGCTGAGCATGCGCTTGAGGTGAGTTGTGTCGTCTCGCGCGAGATTTCCTATGCTCTTTTTTTCATGCATAGTGATTGATTCATATAATGTGGATAAGTGCTTGGTTCGAAATTCCAATGGTGCTGGTCAGAGCTTCGTCTGACTTGCGAAGGGCTTGGCCGCACAGTCGGCGACTTCTTGCCACCATCAGTTCCTGCTGTCCGCCGCCGTCGGCTCAAAGAGAGTGTATTGAAAATTTGGAACGATTCTTCAAGGACATGGCTGGGTTGGAATAAATCCATGGGCCAAGCCTGGGCATCGACCGAGAATTGCTGCTCAAAGAGCGAGCAGACGGAAGTTGAACAGGTGGAAGCATGCCAACCAACTCGTCCTCCTGCGCCTTTGGAAAATGTTACTTGTCGAAAGAAATTTGCTCTTACTTCATCCAAGATCCAAGTAGCCACTAACTCAGCAATAGTGTGTGAAGCACCCTGCAAAGGCCATCTACGAAGAGGGAGTGGCTGGTATGACCAGTCCAAGCTCTGAAGTATTTGGCTTCATGTCAACCTCCTCCGACAGCATCGAGATAATCGACCTCACCAAGACAAATGTCAGTGCGGAGCTGTTGCGAGGCATTTCCTTGCAAAAGACGTTGCACAGTTTTGGTCGACTTTGGCGTCGCAGGCCCGCTGATCTGAACTTGAGGCAACGGGCGCAGCTGTACGGTCAGTCTGAGCCTGTTGCGAAGCTGGATGTGTTTATCTCGCACGCATGGCACACGCCTGGCAAATGGAAGTTTCTGTCTCTGCTTCTCCAGTTTGGCTGGAAACCAACGCTTCTTTTCTGGGCATTTGGCACAAGCCTCTCCTTCATTCTCTCTTTATTTGATGTTCTGCCCCAGGTCATCACTGTGCGTGTCACAGCATTGGAGCAAGCAGGGCCTGCAGCTTTCTGGCTCCTATTGACCGGCTTGCTGTCTGCAATCGCCGGCTTGACAACGTCGCCTTACATTTCGTGGACTTCAAACTCACGGAGATGCTTTGTGGACATCGCCTGCATTCACCAGGCAGATGAACAGCTCATGAAGCAGGGGATTCTCAAGATGGGTGCATTTCTGGCGGCGTCTTCAGAGCTGCGTGTCCTTTGGAGCGCGCCATATCTGTCGAGATTGTGGCATCGGCTTTTTACAGCATGTGATTGCTGTGTTGTACTGTAGCAGTATCATCAAACACCCTTCCGGCAAGAACATTTCCGCTTGAAACCCCCTTCCAGAGTTCAACTGTGCCGCTGTACATGATTTCAATGTCATTTGGCTCGGCAACCCAGGTGGTGTATCTTTGAGCTCGCAGCATATCGGAAAGTGAATCCAACCGGCAAGATATCTTTGGCACCAGTATACATTGAGATGATTGTGCTTGTGCTCCTGGGCCCTCAATCCAGTCTTACGAAGCTTTAAGAAGCAAATCATAAAGATCCGAGCTTCAGATTCGTGGCAGCCCGAATTCATGCTAGTGATCGTGTGCTGCATCTTGATCAAAGGATGTATCTGTGGATGTATGCTGCATCCATTGTCTGGTGGTTTTCACGGACTACAGAGCGATTCTCGATTCTGTGGTTTATTGCAATGGCGCTGGCTTTGGGTAGTTCTGGATTTGCTGCCGTACATGCTTTACGGTATAATTGCCAATGCAAGAAGCAGCTGCCTGGCCTTGTTAAGCGCGGTTGCTGGCAAGAGTGTCTCACAAGTCCACATGAAACAGATGCTAATGTGTTGCATGGTGCTGCTAGAAGATAGTTTGGCGAGAGACCTGAACGACAAGCCAGGTTAATAGCCGACTTGGACAGCTTCGACGTGATGAGGGTAGAGTGCCAGAGCGAATACGACAAGGCATGCATTCACACGGCCATCGAAAACTGGTATGGCAGCTTGCAGGCTTTCTCTGCCTACGTGCGGGGTCCTCTTCGCGAAGATGTGCTGAAACCCATGCAGACCCCTGGCAGTGTCTCCTTTGGCTATATATGCCTGCTCACGTCACCCTTGGTGACGGTTTGCTTAGAAGGTGTGCTGGCGATGGTTAAGGCTGCCAAACCCTTGAACATTTTGTTGGGTTACATTCTAAGCTACATGGTCGGATTGACACTCCTCCTTCTGCCGGCTTTGCTGGTCCTTCTGATCGACCTTTGCGAGCGGGGTGCCGTGCAAGACCATCGATGTAAGTCATATCTTCAATCTTTGGGCATTGCTTTTCTAGTGTTGCTTGCCGCTCTGGTCGGATCGGCTATGGCTTCTCTGTCTTATAGGCACAGTATCTGGATGTCTTTAGGATGGGTAGGAGTAGCTTCGGCCTTTGCTGGTTGCGTGAGACGCTGTTGCTGGCACCGGTAAGGCACATGTAGTTCATCAGATCATTGGTGTTTTAAATTTTCTCAGACGAAGACAAACGCCTGCGGGGTCTCGCTGGCCATGGCAGGAACCATTGCTCGTAAGGGCATGAAGGAATAAAGAGAAGAGTGCAAACGGGCGGGCGGCCATGGGCGATCAACGGTTTGGAACCATTGCAACCTTCCTAAGCCAGGCTTCCTTCAAGGAGCACATGGATCGTATGGAAGCGACGACTGCGGATGTCAGGGTTTAGCTCGTTCTCTGCACATCGGACTGAGCTTGCGGTTCGGTTTGGATTTCGACCACAGGATGTAAGGTTTGGGTACAGGAAACTATTCTTCTTGTACGGGGGTTGCACAGTCTGACCTAGTTGAAGATGAAGCGGCACTCCACAGTCGCATTGTCCGCCGGGGAGCTGCGGAGTCACAGTTGTTCCATCCTCCGCCCAGCCCACCTTGGCATTACAGCCCCATCAGGGCAAAGAATTTCTCACAACTTTAGGCTACGCTCGACTTCGGAGGGTTGACACCACACGATGATTAATCAAGTTCGATGAGTAAACCTGTCAGCACCCAGGAAACTCATGGTTACGATATGCCCGCAAGTCGCACATGAATGCTGCACCCCACACTCATTCCCAGAGCCAAACCGCGGCCGTTTAGAGGTACTGCTCGGGGTTGTTGGCTTTCGGCGATTTATCTGGAATTGCCAGATTTTGGAGTGTAGAGTTTCAGGAGTCAGAAAGACCAGGGGGTTTGGGATGTTAATGTTTGCGAGTTAAACTGGTTGGTGTGGAATACGGGAGAAGGTCTCAAAGCAGTGGCCGGGCCTCAGCGATAATTCGGGGCGGCGGGATGACACCTTAAGCTCCCTAAAGCTGAAGTCCGAAAACGCACAGCTCAGAGGTATTTCAGGATTCATTCTGGGGATTCTTTCGGACTTGCGTTTCTCAAAGACGCTAGACTCGTCACAGAGTTGGTACACGAAATTTATAGAGGGCCAGAACTATAGCGACGTCCCAAGACCCACCTCCCAAACCTGAAGCCCGAATCGCAAGACCTCGGCCCGACGGCAAAGTTGCAGGGTTTCCTTATGGAAAAAGCCAGGACCTCCCTCTGGTGCCAACTTTAGCCCTCTGCTTGGAGGGCTAAAGCACCTTCGAACCACGACCACAGGCACATCTAAACGTTTACTCCAGCTCGACCCCCGGGACTCCGGCGATGGCCGACCTGACGGGCTGACTCTTTGGGACACAGATTCGCATCCCTGTCAGGGTGACATGGCGGCCGCGCTTGTGTCACCGACGATGAGGCCACATCGATGTTGGCTTTGGTTCAGAAGCTTTGCGACTCGGGACTTAGATTATTTCACTTGGGCTACTTGGGCGGGGTGGCGAGGAATGGTGATCACCAAGTTTCAACCCAGACACTAGACCGCAAGATATTTGGGTGTTATAAGCGGCAAAAGGACTCAACGCTTCCAGGGTTTGCATCTTGGGGATCAAGGTTTCCGTTGGTATATCAAAACTGCAGCACAGAACAGGCCAAGCAACATTTAGAGGAAGACGAATGCGAGGAAGAGGCGCATAGGCAGAGGGACAAAATTAAAAGATTCGCTCGTTTTGACAGAGGAACAAGAAAGTCTGTGTTTTCGGTTGCGGGCCTTGGGGTTCACAGTTTGGGGCATGGTTCGCGTTGGGAGCTTGGCGGGCATGGGCTTTAGCCTGTCGTCTAAGATTGCCGTAGAAACCGACTCCACTGCTGCGGTAGCCCTGCCATATGGATAGTTCTGTAAATTAGGGTCCTTCTGGGCTTCCTTTTTTGTAAGGGTGTCTTACTATTCTGGGAACCCAAAGAGGGACCCCAGTTTAGAGAATTGCTCCTATGGTAGCCCTGATAGTAACCCTGACAGTAACCCTTGTAGTAGGCCATATAGTAACCTTAGCAACCCTGATAGTGGGGACTGTGTAGCCAGCCCGCAAACCATCGTCTTATTCCACAGACCCCTGAATTGCCTTTTGTAAAACAATACCTTCAACGGTAGTTCAGTAGTTTTGCTCAGTGTTTTGTTGATGCTCCTGATCCCCTACTTGAACTTTTCGTTTTGACACGCTGCGGACCATGGTTTTGTTGTCGAGCCTAGGGTCTAGAGTTCAGGATTCCTTGCAGATGATCTTGGTTTGGTCTTTCAGGGGCTTGAGGGCTACTTGAGGGTTAGGGTTCGGATGTCCTGAGCAAATCAAAATCTTGTGCTCTTTCGATGAGTGCTTTCCACCCGAGATGCACATCACAACGAGCTCGACCCACGTCCTCGGGATAGCCGATACTATCAGTTTTTGGTTTAGGGTTTAGGGTTTCATACCGGAATAGTTTAGATGCCTTGGTCTTCTAGGAACCATCCTACCTATACCACCTTGGAGTAAGGTAGATGACAGCTTCTTCCGAGACCACACAACCATAGAGGGTTGCATCCATGGATGTCCCCATCTATTCATCCTTGCGGCTTGACCCCAAACTTCAACAGCAGCGTTTGGAGGGTTCAGGGTTTACGAGTCTAGGGCTCAGGGGCTCAGGATCCAGGTTTTGAGCGAGGCACAGCAGCACAAATCAGAGCACACGTGTGCTGCAAGGCCCTGGAGCCACTCAGCCTCCACCAAGTGTGGCTGCATGGGTGTTCTCTGAAAACAATCAGTGGGGAACCCTTGTTTCGGGGCCCTTACACGGAAGATCTTGCTACGCAGGGTCGACATGAGGGGCCCGTCGTTTTCTGAAACTCCCATGTGGCCGCAGCCCACAGTGAAGCACAATCGTTGCAAGTTTCGCTTCGAGGGTTGAGGCTCCGCAGATTGGGATCACGAAGACGGTACCCCAAACCAGAGAAGTCGCGCAACTTCATGCACTGAATCTATTCTGCCGCCCCTAGACTTTACGATGCGCGCTGGACATGGTAATCTTCGAGGTTCCCAGAACCCCCTTTGACAACACACGATCTGATCCCAACACATGGTGGGATAATCTAGGGACAGCCCATGCGCACTGTGAACTGTGAATCCGAGCCTCTTGATGACCGGCAAACCGAGCCAAATACCAGCCCATTTTCCTCACAGCGAATTCGCGACCTCTGCGACGATCAGTTGTTTCACCCACCGTACCTTCATGAGCCGTCTTCTGTGTGTCAAGAAACACCGACGCCCCACAAGCCCTTCACGCCCTGAAGCCCTAAAACCCCTAAACAAGAGCCCCTAAACCCGAACCCTAAACGCTAAACCCTAAACCCGGGTCCTTTGCTTGTCTGACCTTGGGCGGGCCCTCTCGGCAAACGTGTAACCTTCTCTGCGGTTATGGGTTTCCGTTTAACGTGTCGAAGGCTTCGAAGCTTTTGGGTTCAGGGTTTAGGGCTTAAGGTCTCTTTTTAATTAACGTGTTCAAGGCTTCGACCTTTGTTGTGCTAGGGGTAGGGGCTTGGGGTTTGGGTGTAGGGCCGGTGCAGGATTCGAAGTTTAGGGCTTAGACTGATCATAGCATCCTTCTCCTGCTGCTATTGGCAACAACTACTACTGCTACTGCTACGACTACGACTACGACGACGACGACGACTACTACTACTACTACCACCACTGCGGAGGCTCTTTCATAGCCGGGGTTTCAGGCTGAATGTGGAAGATGCTATGCCTTCGATTCCCCCGCTAAACCCTAAACCCGAAACCCTAACCCCTAAACCCGAAACCCTAAACCCTAAACCCTAGAGTTTATAATGGGGTTTAGGGCAGCAAGGGGTGTCCATGGCATTGGACATTGACCGCCCCTTTTGGCTCAAAACGCGGGACCCGGGCTTCCAACAGTGCAAAATAGCCATGCCGCAGATCGCATTCAGGCTCGGAGTTGAAGTGGAGCTGCACCGTTTGGAGCTGTCTTGGTCTTAACATGTCTTGACCCGGCAGGGCCGATCGCCACTCCGTCGACAGCCAAGGTTGCGGTTTCATGCTTATGGAGAACACATGCGATGCTTCAGGGAGTCCCATTTTGGGGTTCAGGGTTCAATGTTTAGGGCTTAAGGTTTATAGGCTTTAGGGGGTCCATGAATAGGGGTCCTGCAAGCTTTCCTCATGTCGTAAGGACTATGCCTTCGGGTTTAAGCGTGGGACTTTGGGCCCTTGTGGTTCAGGAAGTGATGAGTCTGAGATGCTGTGGTTTGGGCGGGGTTTCGGGTTTAGGCGTCAGTGGTCTAGGGGTTGGGGTTTGGTGTTCAAGGTGACCTGTATCTGTATCTATATCATATAACTGTATGTTTAGGGGTTTGGCGTTTGTGTGTACGTCCACGCTAAGCTGGTGATGAAGGAGCACGAGCCCCAGAAAGTTGTCTAGCCATTTCGGGCCATCTACGTGTCAGTTGTGGGCATTGTGCTTTTGACGGTTGAGACTTTACAGGCGTGTTGAGCAATGCCAGCAAGTAGAACGAAGATAGGGGAGAAAAAGTAGATATGAGGAAAGCCAAGGCACCTCTGATGCTCACCCTCCTTATTTATTCGATTCTTATCATAGCCAGGGATTTCAGGTGCTTCGTCATAGTCTGCGCTGCCGCCTGAACATCTATACCCAAAAGAAGAAAATTGCAAACTGCAGTTCCTCCTCGCAGGCCGACGCCTTCCGGGACATGCGGCAGGCGGTGCCGGATGGTAGGTTTAGCGTATCAGACATCCTCACAGCGAGGGGCTGGGCTAGCTGCCAGTGATATGACACCCAGATTTGAGGACCCTGGACAAGAAATCTCACAAAGCCGGTCTAATTTCTTATTCCCAACGATTTCTTAATGAATGTGCTAACCGTAGGACAGATTGGGCGGTCGTCGAGATTCCCAGCAATGCAACTTACAAAAGTCTGGTGGTCTTTGCGAGCCTGGCAATGGGCTCTAGAGCTTAAGTTCCTTGACCGGTTGTGGCGGTTTTGATTGAGGGGGTTTAGATTATGGAGAGTTTACAAGTAAAGGCCCAAAGCCTTATTTTT